AGCGAAGCACGCGACCACGATTCGCACGGCGAATCGTGCCCGCCGCACACACACACCCGCGTTATACACACACACCGCACACTCACACCGACACCGATTTTGTACACACACGCACAAACCGCCGTTCGTGAATACCAGCCGCGACGACTGGTATCACACGTACCCACATACACATACATATACACACACTCACACTCTGTACTTGAACAACAGAATATATCAGCGTTCTTATTTCTCAAAACCGTATTCTGATTCATTCATACCGCCTTGTCTCTCTCCTCCTGGCCGAATCTCTTTGCGACCTTGGCCGCAGCCCGTGACCGGCGAGCTACGTCCGCGCAAAGTAAGGTCGTTTCAATTTATTAAGACAATAATGTGAATATATCAAGTAAGAATATTAAAACCTATAACGGTTAAAATTGGATCTAATGCTTTAAATAATTTATTGCGAATTATATGTACAATATATTATAATGTGACAATTTTTGTCCGTCACTGTTGCGGATCGTCTGCGGGGGATTTTGCGTCCTTCCGGCTCACAGGGCGAGAGCGCAAACGGGCGTGCGTACGAGCGCACATGCGAGCGTGCGCTAATTATACATTTAGTTAATTTTTTTTGTTTCTTTTTGTTGCAAACTTATTTTTTTAGTTAGTTTCGCATTTAGATCAGGTGTTATCGGCGGATTGTGCTCGGTCGCTAAAATATTGTTCTATAATCTTGTCGTCTCACTCATCATCGAAGGAAGGAAAACCACTACGTAGAGAAGGACGAAAATGCGACGAGTTGGGAGCCACTTCATCCGGGGATCCGGACACGCACGTCGTATAATTTTGTAATGCGCTGTCCTGAACTTTGCTATATCGCACACCTTTTATAGACAAGAACTATGGAAAGGGAAGGCTGTGAGTACGCCAGGTGGCTGAGGATGAGATCAGTTGGAGAGAACGACATCCCGATACGGAGCCGAAGGCGGAGCTTCTCCCGGATTTTCCGAGTCAACCCTTATAATACAGGAAGCTACAGGCGACCTTAGAGTTCTTCAATTTATGTTGCGCGCCTTAAAGCGTAAGGACTTGCGGCCTGCGAGGGCCTATACGATTCGCGGAGCCGCGTGATTAATCAGGGCCAATCGGCGCGTGATAGGACCCCGATTGAAGGGGGGTTAAACGACCTGCGTGAATCAAGGTTGTCGCAAGGACACCGGTGGATACGAGAGTTTCGGTGAGACGAAAGTTGTCGCCGTTGTAAAGCTGCCAATCACAGGGTTCGTAGCTTCGGATGGATCGCGCATGAAAACTCACGAAGTTTGGAGAGGTCGAACTAATTGCTACCGTGTGAATCAGTAAAATTATGAGCCACGTGCCATTCGCCCGTACACCTTTTCTTTTTGAGAGAAATAGAGTTACCGATTTGCGCTGGCCCCCTTACCACAGTAGAGTCACTTTATATTATGTGGAATTAATTTATGTAATTTTATTGTGTATTAGCCAGTCTAACCTTCTGCTGATTACGACGACAGAATTGAGGTACAAACCGCGCTAAAGATTCATTCCGATTTGTGTCGAAATTATCCAACCTGATAAAAAACTTTTGTCAGAGTACGAGCTCTTATATACTGACGATAAACTTTAGTTCGCGTAGTTGCCTAACCGGCATTATTATCGACATTGTTGTTCACGCGGATGCCGAGCTTTAAGACCAGGCCTATCGAGCTGAATTCTTAAAGTCAATTGTAAATCGACTTCTTAAATACATTTGTCATCTCTTTTCTTGTTAATTTCTGTGTTATTCTTACAGCCTATTTCTCTCGTCCACCGACAACTTTCCTGCCTATAAGGACTCACTTCTGTTGCCGTCGCGAATTGTGATTATCGTAGAATAATTAAAAATTAACGGTAATTATTTAGATTAAAGGATACTCCGCAGATGACCTTGACCTTGACGTATGTTGTCAAGGTCATGACCCTGAGACCTTCCGACAGGTTTTAGGTGGCGGTCGTTCTTCGTTAAAAAGTTATTAGCAGTAAAAGTTCAACAATATAACACATTTATATGATATTTATATAATATTTATATGACAATTATATAACAATTATGACAACCATATAACATTTATATGAGATATTATACATATTTGTTCACCCTTCTCCATTTGACATTTATAAATGAACAGTTTTCGTGATCGATTCACCTACCGAGACTGACATCTCACCATAAAATATTCAATAACTTCTAAATGGCTGACCTAAAATAGATAAAATTATGGTGTTTTGGAAAGATCTCAGCAAGGATTATAAGAAAATGAAAGAAAAAGTGGGAGTCTCAATTAAAAAATTCGAGTTGACTTTGCCCTACCTTGGCAACGCCACCCTAAGTCAAACTGATGAAGCCAGCGGTTAGGCCTTCTTAAATGCTATAACTTTTATTTAAAACATTTTTTTATAAAACTTATAGTTTTTCAGATATTTCGCCATTTCGGAACATTTTATGTTTCTTATATGATTATATATGGTGCCACATATAATTATATCCCACATATAATTACATACCATATATAATGTCCAAGCTATGTACAGAATATGTAGTGTAATTCCCAGGATTTGAATGATGAAAATAACTTAATAAATAATTGAAAAACAATTTTTTATTAAGTAATATAATTGCGTATCTCATGAATACACACGCACGCATGAATATAATACATACGCACGCACGCACGCACGCACGCATACACGGGACCCCTACCACGTCCATGTCGTTGGTCCTGGATTACGTTAAGAGTAGAGAATTATACTACGTGTTCTGTAACAAAGTATCGTTTTATACATGTGTACATATCTTGGACATTATATATGTAGTATGCAATTATATGTGGGATATAATTATATGTGGCACCATATATAATCATATAAGGAACATAAAATGTTTCGAGATGGCAAGATATCTGGAAGCGGGCGTCTCCCGCTACGCGCGCGCGCGTGGGCAGCACTCCCATTGCAAACGTGCAGACCGTTCTTCCGCCTGACATGGCTCCTCCGAATATCCTTCTTGCTATGGCCTGGGTCGACATTCATACAGTTGAAAGTCGAAGTTTTAAAATTCGCGCGTTACTGGATCAAGGATCCACATTTAGTTTTATTTCGGAATTGCTCTGACAGGCATTGCGTACTAAACGGCAACGCGCCGATTTACTCGTTAAATGTTTCGGATAGAAATTCACGGGCTTAGCAAGTCTCGCGTTTCTCTTCAATTAACACTGTGCTCAATGTCTAAGCCGAGGTTCCCGGTGAACCCATACGTTTTTCAACGCACACGTCATACGCGGCGTCACAGATTTAGCCCTTTGAAGCGTGGTCTCATCTGCGAGGTCTACCGTTTGCCGACTCCAATCCCGCGAGGCGCCACCAAATTTATTTGTTGACAGGCGCCGATCTAAACGGTTCTCTTTTGATGCAAAGCATTCGTAAAGGCCCTCTCGGTACATCTACTGCGCAAGTGACAGCGCTAGGCTGGATTTTCTCTTGCTCCACGAGTCGTAGATCAGTAGAGTCCGAAAATTCTATAGTATGTAATTGAGTATCAGTTTAAGATACAAATTCGCTCCTCCAGAGATTCTGGGAGGACGAGGAGGTCTCGCGCCCTCCTCCACTCACTGAAGAGGAAAGTCGTTGCGAGCAATATTTCCTCGTCACTCACAGCCGCTCCCCCGAAGGCGGTACGTGGTTCGGTTCCCATTTCGGCATGAGCCTCCAGTAGACATAGGTGTTTCGCTGCCTATCGCTACTTTACTTCAGAATAAAATGGAGACTAGATTGCGAAACCGCGCTGCGATATAACGAATGCCATATAACGAATTCTTAGACGAATATCGTTCGTTGGGACATATGAATCAGATTCCCAGTATTGAAAAGGCCGCTCCTAACGCCGTATATATTCGTCATCATCCATTTTACGCGAATAGTAGCACCACGAAACTGCGTGTCGTTTTCAACGCCTCTTGTAAGACGACAAACCGCATTTCACTGAACGATTATCTACTGTTGGACCTAAGTTACAGCAGGATCTTCCCGCTATTCTATTACGTTAGCGTCAGTGACGCTTCGTTTAGACCGCGGACATTACAAAAATGTTTCGCCAGATTCTGGTTCACTCTTGATACCGATTTCCAGCGGATTCTCTGGCGCCCGTCCGGCGACGGGTCAATCGAGCACTTCCGTCTTCTTACCGTAACGTACGGGCTCGCTCCTCCCCCATACCTTGCGATGCGCGTCTTAAAGCAGCTAGCATTAGACGAGGGCTCCAATTATCCTGCGGCAGTCTCTGTACTTAATGAATCAACTTACGTGAATGAAGTACTATTCGGTGCGGATGGTACCAAATTGCTTGTCAAGTGTCGAACTCAGTTAACGGAATTCTTAAAAAAAGGAGGTTTTCCACTTCAAAAGTGGGCCTCGAATTCTCAGGAGCTTTCCGCGATTTGTTAATCGGTCAAACCGATATGACGGATCATCTCCTATCACAGGACGAAACCTTGAAGATTCTTGGCATCTCGTGGCTTCCCCACGAAGATGCGTTTCGCTTTCTTGTTGACTCATTGCCTCCACTGACGCCGACGAAACGCTCTATTCTATCAATCGTCGCGAGGCCACTGTACGACTCCTTCGGCCGGGCCGCTCTAGTCGTAATTCTAGCGAAAATTTTGTTACAGGAGTTATTATGGCTCCTGCAATATGATTGAATACCTCCCTTCCTAATGAATTGCATCAACGATGGAAGGAGTATTATCTTGATTTAGAGTCACGCAATAATGTCCGAATACCGCGTTGGACAGGCCAACACGGAGATAATCTCGCCTTTGAAATACACGGCTTCGCTGACGCCTCTAATCGAGTGTATGCTACCGTCGTCTATCCACGCACCCTTCACTCTTCAATAGACGTCAAGGTTTGTTTGCTGCGAAAACGAAAGTCGCGCCTCTTAAAACTCTTAGTGTACCGCGACTTAAACTTAATGCCATCGTCCCCATGAGTAGGCTAAAATTCTCAAATTGGATTAATCTTATTCGAGTCACGACCTACGTTCATCGATTTATCTCTAGGTCGAGACGAAAAAGCAACCCTTCCTTCTCTTTGTCATTAAAGGTTGAAAAGCTACGCAATGTCGAGACTGTCTGGCTCCTCTACATGCAAAAAGGAACGTTTGCGCCAGAGCTTAAAGCATTAAGAAATAATTCTTCTCTTCCACGCTCAAGCCTTCTGAGCACTTTTCATCTTTTTGTTGATGCCAACTCTTTAATCCATCATGGCGGGCAGTTAAAAGACGCTGCTCTCAGCTACGATGAGCAGTATCTAGTCAAAGGCTTTAAAACGCATCTTAAGAGAGTCGCCGGGTCGCGTACCCTTTCGCAAACCGAGTTTGCGATACTTCTCTATCAAATTAAAGCATGCCGTAATTCACTTCCGGTTCCTGCCCTTTGCGACGACCCTGGCAATTTATCTGCGCTCATTCTTAGGCATTTTTTATTGGTCGACCTATGGTTGCCGCTCCGTAGGAATCTGTACTTACGATTAATTCGGAAAGACTTTCCTGATGGTAACTCGTGCGTTCTATGCGAGAGCGACTTCTTGATCGCTAGACTACTTATACTCGCTTCAGCAGAGAAATAAGTGGCGAAACGCTACGGCAAATCTGAAGGAGAATTGGTATTCGTCAAAAATCCGTTGCTTCCCCCGAGCAAGTGAAAACTCGCAAGGATTCAGCAGATCCACCCAGGACTCGTTCGCGTTGTCACGATCTGTACTGCTCATTCTCTTTTGAAGCGATCTATTACTCAGTTATGTAAGCTGCCTGCAAATGGCGAATCCTATATGTATCCAAAGCCGCTGATTATTAGCGCTCTTTCTTATTGTATCTTCTGCGTTAAATTGATCTACTCTAATTTAACCGTTTATGTTAGCATTATTTTGTTGCTAAGATGGTTATACCACTCTCGTCGCTACGGTATATTCGTATCGCCTCACTCATTTTGATATTATTTCGCATACGCTTTTATACGAGGCGGGCAGTATGTTCAGAATTTCGTTAGATTATTTCAGAGAGTGAAACATCGTATATTGTTTCGACCTTCGAGCGATCGTGACGTCGGAATCCATATTTGTGTATTTCCGCGTACAAATGTTCGAAAATAAGTAAGAAAACTACTAAATGAAACTTACCCACAGACCTGCTCGTAAGTTTCGACGTAGAATCCCTTTTCACACAAGTCCCAATAAAAGACAAATTAAACATAATAAAGGCCTCACATGAAGTCTCTCCCGCTAATAGAGCACCGCTTGACAACCACTTATTTCTCCTATAACAAATTTTATGAACAAACTTCAGGAGCGGCGATGGGCTCTTCTATTTCTCCTGTAATTGCCAACATCTTCATGAAGCATTTTGAGAAAGAGGCCCTCAGAAAAACACCCAAAAAACCAGAAGTTTGGTTCCGTTATGTAGATGACACATTCATGATATGGAGACACGGCAGGGCCGAACTACATAAATTCCTTGTTTTCCTCAACAAACAACATCCAAATATCCACTTAACTAGATATAGAGGAAAACGGAAAACTCCCTAGACGTTCTTATCTCTAAGAAAGCTGACAATGCCTTAGGCTATCAAGTGTACAGAAAACCAACACACACAGACAGATATCTACTACATGCCGAGTCGCACCACCACCCAGCATAAAAACAGTCAGCAATCAACTCACTAGTACATAGAGCTTTCACCATCTCTGACAAAGAACATCTACAGACAGAACTCAACCACCTCAAACTGGTCTTACAGAAAAACGGACACGATAAAAAAAACATAACCAAAATAATCAATAAACATGCAAACAAGACAACGGTCTTTGACACACAACCAGACGAAAGGATCCTAACCATCCTCCCATATGACAGATCGGATTGGCAGGATATTAAACAAACACAATATCCGAACTATCTTCAAACCACCCAAAAAGATAGGACAAATCTTAAGAAATCTTAAAGATCAAAGACATCCACTCAGTTCCGCAGGAGTACACAAAATACCTTGTTCCTGCGGGAAAGTATACATTGGAAAAACCGGGAGAATGGTCAACCTCAGTGATGCACATTTGGCTCCCCGGCAACACGGAATCCAGCCCCACTACTTTTACCCCCACCTACCGGCATCGAGTCGGCCCTCTTCGCCGCGAGAGCGAGCGAGACAG